TGAAAAAGATGACAATGGTGGAAAACGCTAAAGGGGGGAAGAAAACACATGTGCAGGAAACTTGAAGAAAAAGAAAAAGCTTGGGGTTTCAAAAACTTCAGAAATGCAACAGCTCAAGCAAGAAATGTCCATCCCTATTTATAATAATATGGGAACCCTAATCGAGAAATCCCAAACGTCGCCTCATTAATTTCGAAAAGGAAGAGGCGCGGGAAACGACGTAACGTATTGGGAACATGCACCATAATGATGCATAATGAAATGATGTCATTTTGAACTGACGTAATAGTCAGAAGTGGTTCTTGAAGCGCCATATCATCACCCCGCCATAAAAGGGACACTCCTCGGCCAACGTGCTCGGATTTCTCAAAATTGCAACTGGCAAAGTCCGCCATCGAGCTCGTCCAAAAACAACCTCGACGGATAGAGGGACTAACTGTATGTGTCAAAATCTTATCAAGGGGACCTCGCCTGAAATAAGGCAATCAAGAACCAATTAGGCCAAGGTCATGCTTAAGAAGCAGCACTAGCAAGCCAAGCAGCTAATGTCGAGGTCGAGCACTCAGATCGGCCAAAACGGCTAGTTTAACAATAAGATATTTTAAAGCAATATTTTGAAGAATATTCTCAGCATTTGTACTTTCAGTAGGTAAGGGATATGTCCCATATAAGAAAAAATAAAGAGAGAAAGAAGAGGTATCTAATATTCTATTTAGATAAGCTCTCTCTAGAAAAGTTGACTCTCAAGTAACTATAAACATTATCTTTACACAAGATTAGATTTGCTGTTTATTCCAAGCTTTCTACATCATATCCGATAATTATTCGATATGCCCACATTTGGTTACCTTACATCAATGTCAGAGGGAGAATCATCCACCTCATTGAACATTTGAGTGAATCATTCTCTCTATTTACATTTATTGCAATTTATCATATTTATTGTTTGTCCTTATCCCCTTATTCATTCGTAACAATATCATTAAACACATTTTTGGCATTTATTAGCTTTAAATGCGGTTTTTAGACTATTATTATCCATTAATCTTGGATCTAGGATTTCTTATATTTAACTAGAATTAACCCATTATTATTTATTTAATAAGTTTAACAAAGAGGTTTAATACTTTTTGGTCAAACAAAAGGGAATGAATAATTCAATACAGTAAATAACATTTATTAGGATAATAATATTTCGTCTATTCAATTTCCTACAGCTATTATGTTCTTCAAAATAAATATGATGTTTGCTAATACTTAAGTAACTCGAAATTGTGAGCAAATGAAAAGACTGATCGAGGACTATATATGCTGATGGATTGAGGTTCTGGTTGTACGATTTTGCCTCTTGGTTGTGCCTCTGGACATCTCTATCATTTTTCTTAGTTGCAATTTTTCTTATTGTTTTGAAACAACCACCAAGGACAAAAATACTTTATAATTTTTATTTTCATATATTCATTTTAGAAAGATCACTTATCTATACCTTAGATTTCATCTAGTTTCATTTATTTCTTTTTACTCTCTCAAAGAAAGTTTAACATGTTTATGCATATTTAACATGCATTTTATTAGAAATCAAGAATAACAATAAATTAAACAAAAAACTAGATTATAAGTCTTAAGTTTTTTCTTAAAACCGTCATTTAGAAGTTTGCAAGTGCTAATGAGTTTGTTTTTATTTTTTGAAAAACTAAGTTAGGTGAGAAGACACAAAAAAAATATGGCGAGCTCAGTAGAGAAAAGTTAGCCATGTCCCTTTATGTCGAATTGTTTTCTTCAAGTTCCAAATTTTGGTTAATCTTTCCTTTTTTTTATTTGTTTAGCTTCTCAATATGCTATTATTTTGAAAAACAAATTAGGTGTTCTTTAATTTTGTGCAATTATGTGGTACTTTATGCTCTCAATACATGTTTTCCATGTTTTAGTCTTCTTCTTTTTTTCTTTTTTTGTTAAATTTTATGTTCCAAAATAGGTTTTGCATTGGAAAAGCTAATATTCATTAAAATGTTTCGTGAGTTTTGCTTATTTTGTGTGATTCTTTGGTACTTTTGTGCACTTGAAGTTTTCTTCAAATTTCAATTTATTTGTTAATTTCTGTTATTTTATCTGTTTAGCCGCAATTTTTGCTTCTTATTATAAAAGGTTTTGTAGAATTTGGTTAATTTTGTGCAATTATGTGATATGTTTCATTTTTTGAGTCCACACGGCACTTCAATATAATTTTTCTGAAGTTCTAATAAAGTGTATATTCAAATGGAACTAGAGATATGTCGAGTCCACTCTTTAAATTCTTACAAAATTTTAGAATTATAATTTAGGTCTTCTTGCAATCTAAACACGTTATGCATATCATAGTGACTCTTGCTTTAGTTGAAATCCAAAGATAACTTAATTTGGTTGACCTCAACTGGCATTTGGATATGTTTTTTCATTTATTGAAGCCCATTATTCATTCTTTGTTTGAAAATTGTTTGCTTTGACTAAGTTCTTAATTAAGAAGGCATTCATGCCATTTTTAAGCTAAAATTTAAATATAATATGTGAATAACTCAATAAGGTATCTAAGGACTTTTGTGAAGTATAATTTTATGTTTTACTGGGTTAGCTAAATAACATCAACAATCATTATTGTTTTACTTTAAACTCAACTATCTTTTTAATAATATTTGTAATTTTTAAGAAGTTTGTACTCACTAATCTTAGGTATCAAAAACTTTTTTTGATAAATAAAAGAATTTATTACCAAAGGCATTAAGTACAAATAACAAGAAAAGTCTAGGGATGAGTTCTCACTCCAAAAATAAAACAAAAAGAATACAGGCCACTCCTTGCAACTATAACAACCAATTTTCCCTAATTACTCTCCACAGACTAAGCTATTAAGGATAAAAATTCATCTTATCGAGTTCTTTAATTAGTCTGCTCCTTTGTGATCCTCGGTAGAATACTTCTTGGATGATTCTTCTAATAATGCTCCTATGGCCTGTATGCTTAGCCTGAAAGACCCTTTGATTTCTTCCAATCCATAGATGGTATACACATGCTGCCAAGGTCATTCTATAGAGTTCAGCACCCCGACTTCTTCCATTGGCATGGATTTCTGCCCACTTCAGTTTTTCTGGCCAACTCATATTTTTTCTTGCAATTTGTTGCCATTGCAGCAAACTATTCCATACCTGTGTAGAAACTTCACATTGGAAAAATAGGTGGGATATACATTCTGTCTGAGAAGCACATAATGGACATATTTGATTGTCAACAATTCCCCAGTACATCAATCTATCTTTTGTGGGCAATCTCTCATGAGCTGCTAGTCTGAAGATAAAAATCCATTTGGGAGATCCATAGTTGTTGCAAACCATTTTCCTCCACTGAACTTTTGGAAAGTCACCTCTCATCATTAGATACATCTTCTTGATTGAGAAGGCTGTCATGTTTTTTAGGTCTTCTTCCATGATCCCGGCTAGCTGGACATAACTTTGTATCTTTACAATTTTTTGCACTACCCATGAAGCTTGTTTAGGTACTGCATCCCAAATTTGTCCACCCTTGATGTAATAGTTGTGAACCCACTTAACCCAGAGTTTATCTTTTTTACAACATAGGTTCCATAATAGCTTGCTAATCACTGCTCTGTTCCATATAGATATATCTAGGATATTAAGTCCACCAGCACTAGCAGGATAACATACTTTCTCCCAAGTAAGTAATTCTCTCTTTGTCAATCCACTCCTCCGGTCCAAAGAAATCTTCTACATGTAGCTTCTATTTATCACTTTAGTAGGCAGAACAAAAATCTGCAACCAGTAATCTGAATAGAGAAAAGAACATTTTTTTATCAATTATACCCTTCCTGCATAGGAAAGGAACTTTGTTGTCCAGTTTGTAATCCTTCCTAGCATTTTTTCAATTAAAGGTTGGCATTAGTTGATTGACAGTCTTTTTGTACTGAGTGGTACACCCAAATATCTAAATGGTATCTCCCATTTACTGAACACAATCATATCCATTATAGCCCTTTGTGTCTCATCTCTCACCCCTCCAAAGTAGATAGAGCTTTTCTCTTTATTTGCTATCAAACCAGGTACTGAGAAAACTCCTGGAAGCAGTCATAAAGCATCTGGACAGATATTAAATCGCCCCTACAGAATAATAGTAGGTCATCAGCAAAGCCTAATTTTATCAAATTCATTTTCTGGCATCTGGGATGATAATTANACATGAGAAAACTCCCGAAAGCATTCATAAAGCATCTGAACAGATATTAAATCACCCTTACAGAATAATAGTAGGTCATCAGCAAAGCCTAATTATATCAAATTCATTTTCAAGTATGTGGGATGATAATTGAAATTTGGTTGTTCACTCAGTCCTTTCAACATTCTGGAAAAGTAGTCCATAGCAAGAACAAAAAGGAAGGGGGATATAGGATCCCCTTGCCTCAATCCTCTTTTAGCTGCAAATGGCTCCGTAGGCCATCCATTAATGCCAATAGAGTATGAAACTGAACTTATGCATTCCATGACCCACTATATGAACAAATTAGGAAAGTTCATATGTATCAGTACTTGTTCAATAAACTTCCATTCCAGTGAATCATATGCTTTTTGCATGTCCACTTTTAGCATACATCTTGGAGAGATCCCTTTTCCTCCATATCCTTTTACTAGTTCGTGACTTAAGATAATGTTGTCACTTATCATTCTCCCGGGCACAAAAGCTGATTGGCTATAATCTATAAGGTCACCCATCACGCTTTGCAATCTGGTGGTTAGGATCTTGGAGATCAGTTTATAAAGTACAGAACAACATGAAATGGGCCTAAATTCCTTTACTGAAGAAGGATTCTTCACTTTAGGAATTAAGGTCACTAAGGTGCAGTTGACAGGTCTGTACATAGTTGAGGTTTCGAAAAAATACATTACAGTAGTAGTAACCTCTTCTCCAATGATTGACCATGCTTTTTTAAAAAATAGGGCATGGAAACCATCCCTTTCCTAGGCTTTCACATCATCTATACTCTGAAGTGCATTATACATTTCTTTTTGTGTCACTGACACAATTAAAGCTAGTTGTTGACTTCTGTTTAGTACATGGCCTCTTTTGCATATGTATGGCTTGATTGCAGGCATTTGTAAGGTAGCAGTCCCAAGCAATTTTTTATAGAAACCAAGGATTTCCTCTTTTACCTCAGCTTTAGTTTGCATCCAATCTCCAACATAGTTCTTCAGCTTCTTGATTTGATTGCGAGCAGTCCTGTTTTTAATGCTAGCATAGAAAAAAATTGTATTTACATCCCCTAGTTGTAACCATTGTATTCTTGATTTCTGCCTATATATGCTTTTTTCGACCTTTGACCATTTCTCTAGTTCTTTCTTCAAATTTCTTTCTGTGTCAAATAAAGTTGCATCATGTTTGTAGTCTCTCATCTGCTCTTGTAGCTCTGCTAGAGCTCTTTTGGTGTCCTTTATCCTGTTTTCCACACTTAAAAATTCTTTATTGTTAAGTGTCTTCATTTCATTCTTGATATTTTTCAATTTCAACCACACTCTTTTCATAGAATTTCCCATAACTGGTTTCTTCCAACCTGTTTCTACTTTTGCCTAGAAATCATGATGGTCTTCCAAGTGATTTAAGAACTTAAATGGTCTAGGTCTGTTATTAATTGTTTCAGCAAAATCAACACATAAAGGAGAGTGATGAGAGAAATGAGGATCTAGTATCTGCACCTCTATGTGATCCATATGGATCATCCATTCTGCATTCCCAATTGCCCAATCAATTCTACTGAAGATGTGACTATTTGTCCACGTGAAATTCCTACCAACTGTTTTTAATTCACCCATTCCAGTGTCAACAATAAAGTCATTAAAGTCTCTGGCTTCTGCATCCGTCACTACATTACCATTGACTCTATCTTCAGGTCTCAGGATTGTATTAAAATCACCCATGACCAGCCAAGGACCCTGGATTCCATTAGCGATATCTCTCAGATGCAACCATAAACTTCTTCTATCTTCCATTGTATGTTGCCCGTAGATAGCAGAAAAATAGAATTCAACAGGAATATTTGAACTTTTCACTGCTCCATGTATAACTTGATTAGTCATGGATATCAACTTGAAATCCAATTTATTAGGATTCCACATTACTCATATCTTCCCTCTATAGCTATAGTTATAATTTGCATGTCAGGCCCAACTTGTTGCAATTTTTCCAATAATACTTTTAGCATTTTGTTCCTTCGCCTTATTTTCCAGCACAACTATCAAACTAATTTTATTTTCTATAATAAAGGACTTTAATTCCTTTTGCTTGTACAACTTATTCATCCCCCTCACATTCTAAGTAATGAGCTTCATTTGGATATTGAAGTGATAGAAGTACTCCCCCTCATCCTCCTTCTGTCTACATTGACCTCTCTCGTGTATTGTACTTGCTTGATTTTGTGTTGTATCTTGGATCAATAGTGGACTGAATCCATTGCCAGTCTCAAAGCTAGTACCAGACTTAGGACAAGTAACATTCTTTGCAGCATATTTGCTTCTAACACTCAGCCAAGTATTTTCCTGTGATGTTTGATTTTGCACCTTTGAAATAGGTGTTAGTTTTCCTGTCTTAGATACTTCTTTGTTCTAAGTCTCCTGACCATCATTTGATGTTTGCGCCTGCACAACCTTACAAGAAATATGTTTTCTTCCCTTATTTGTATCCATTTGTTCTCTCCCCTGTAGTGTTTGATTTTGCACTTCATTCACATTTATTATGTTGTCATTGTTAGTTGTATCCTTTAGCTCACCCTTCTTTTCAATATGTATGACAAGGCCAGTCCCTTGTTTAGCTTTCCATTCCATTACTTATTTCTTTGGTATCACCTTCTTCACAAGCTTTTCGTTACGCTTCTGCTTCTGCTCAGGGATTTGGCTTTCATAAGAATTATTGCAGTCATGACCCATTTGAAGGCAAACCTCACAATAATCTGGCACCCAATCATACCAAACTTCTTGTTCAAATATTCTTCCAGTTGGATCCTGGATTTTTATCATCTGTGGTAGAGGGACAGTCACATCTATCTCGACCAGGACCCTGGCAAACGAGATCATTTCTACCTTAGTCGTGCACTCATCAGCATAAATCGGATTTTCCAGTACACTACTAATCCTGCTAAGTGTTTCCAATTCCCAACAGTTTAGAGGCAACTTTGGGAATTGCACCCATAATGGTACTATTCTTAAGACCTCCTCATCGAAATTAAAGTTTGTTTCTCATGGTTTAATTATAATCGGCTTGTTATTTATTGCATGGGGGCTTGAATATAGGACTTCATCTATGTCTTCTAGGGTATTAAATTTCACAAGAAAATATCCATCATTATGCAAATAGATCTTCGGTTTAGCAGTAAAATTCCATTGGTTACCTATGTATCGCTCCAGTGCTCTTATGGATGGTGTTGCACCCACCACATATAAGATCGCTACCTGTTTCCACTTTGTTGTTCCCTTCTCCAATTCTGCTTGATTTAGCTGCGCAATTTTCTCACCCTCTTTTATCACCGGAGGAATGTATGCTAAGCTCATACCCCGTGCTGCCAGCCTATTCCCCGCAAACAGGTTTACCCACTTCATATCCTTTGTAGTTTGTTGTTCCACCTGAAGTTCAATTGTCTTTTTACTTAGGTCCTGGGCAGTCACCTGTTCCGTCCCACTAGTACTCTGAGTGTTAATTAGGGGTGGCAATTTGAGCCCAAACTCATCTAACCCGCTCAACTCGCCCAGAGATTAATGGGTTGGATTACATAATTTTAGCTCATGGGTCAATTTGGGCTGAGTCCAAGTTAACCCATTATATTTTATAACTCATTCTTATCCATTAAGCAGCCTAAATACAACCCATGAAACTCACCCAAAACAAAAGGTATTTCAACCCAACTTATATAGNAAAAAATTTTTTTTTTTTTGTATTTTCAATTTTCTATTTTTTTCTGTTACTTTTTTTTTAATTTTTAATTTTCTGTTTTCTATTTTTTTTCATTTTTCTACATCACCCCTCATCCCCAAAAAAAAAATTCAACTTACACATTTTAAGGTAAAAGACTTTTTTTATGCAAGATAAACATGGTTCTAAAACATGAGTCAAGTTGGGCGGGTTGAATTATGACTCATTGTTTAGCCCATCTTGACACAGCCTATCTTAACCCAAATACACTTTGAACTGGGTTGGGTAATGACCCAACCCATCTTGACCCGTCCAAATTCAGTCCAACCAGCCCATTTGCCGCCCCTAGTCTTAATCACCATACCAGCAATAGAATTACGCTGCCTGTTCCTTGTCGACCCCATGTTTTGGTTTGGTATAGCCGCAGCAATTTTCAGATTGCCCCCACTACCACTAGCTTCCTGATTACCCCCAGAAGGGGTCGTTTGAGTAGGTACCACAGATTTCATCTTCTCTGCAGTTGAATTGGCAGGTGTAGGCATGGTTTTCAGCTCGGTTCGGCGATTAGGAGCTTCCGGCGAAGAAGCTTTAACCATCTCTCCTTCGTCGATGATTTCTCTGATCTCTGTTGATTCTACTGTTAGTGGTCGTCGATTAGCTTTCAGTACCTTCCTCTGAGTTATCACTCGTAATGCCTAGCATGGCATGGTACGTGGAAATTCTTTATTCTAGACAAGTCAGCCTTCTCTCGAGGAAGTTAGTAGGCTGAGTTAGGATTTGAATTAAATGAATATACATTTTAGTCCTTTTAAGTTATCATACTTTAAATTAATAATTTATATATATTAAATAATTTATTAAAAAGATTTATTGGATTTGGCTGAACCGTGAAATCGTGTACTTTAAATATTCTAGCTCTGCCCGATAGTCAGTCAAGGAATTGTAATTAATTTGTACTAGCTAGTCTTTTATTAAATTTCTTATGTCATATGGAAGATGATTGAGTTTCTTTTTTACGCAAAAATTGTAAATTAAATTTTGGCGAAATAGACTTGTGCATGAGAGGAAGACAAATTTGCAAGACTCGGTTTTATAGTCGTGCGCCTTTAATTTGGTTTCCGTATCTTCTTATCCACAGTGGAGTCAAGGTCGTCCATCTTTGACTCTTCTACACCAGTGGAGAAGGCAGGACTCATGAGGCATGATTATTGACCCCAAATCATTGCAATTTATTAATATGAAAATTATAGAAGTGAGTTGTTACCCCAACCAGAGTTTGCATCATTTTGGAAACTCAAAAACCATGGACCAAAAACAAATGATTTTGCTTCCATACCAAATTGCTTGTTTTTATGCTTGTGTTCTAATACTGTCATTAGCCACGGCCCAAACAACCACTAATAGCACTACCACCACAATTACTAAAGGAGTCAATATAACAAAACGAGGATGCCGTAAGCAGTGTGGGAACGTTACAGTTCCATACCCATTTGGTATTGGCGAAGGATCAGGTTGCGCCATTAATGCAGGGTTCGAGATCAAATGCAATATTTCTAGGGACGGTTCTCAGAAACCCCTTATAGGTACCCTTGAGGTTTACAACATATCTGACGCTGAAGTGCGCATCCCAAATTCCATCGCTTGGAGATGCTACAACTCCAATGGAGCTGTACGCAATGAATATCTTGATTATACCCGTTTGGGAAACTCAACTTATCCATATAGTTTCTCTGCGCTGAACAGGTTTATCGTCGTTGGTTGCGACGACAACGCTGTAATCACGGGGCGTAACTTCGAATATAATTGCTCCACTAGCTGTAACTTGTCAAGGGATGTGACTGAAGGAGAATGTATGGGCAATGGCTGTTATCAAGTACAGATACCCAAGGGCTTGAAATACTTTGTCCCAATCATTTCTAGCACTCGAAACCACACCGATGTTTGGTATTTTAATCAATGTGGATATGCATTTCTAGGCGAAGCAGATCGATTTTATTTCCGTGGCCTACAAGATTTAAGTGATATAACCTTTTATAGGAGGACTATGGCTAGTGTCCCTATTGTGCTTGACTGGGCAATTGGCAATCTTACGTGCATTCAAGCTCGGAAAAGCAAGGATTATGCTTGCAGGGAAAATAGCGAGTGTGTTGATTCAGACACTGGCCTTGGTGGCTACCGCTGCAGCTGTGATAAAGGTTATGAGGGCAATCCTTATCTTAGTCCAGGCTGCCAAGGTAGGACGATTTCCCCCCACACACACACATAAAAAGAGTTTTTTTCGGTGTTTAATTTGTGAGTAGAAATATCTCTTGAAAAAATTATATACATTAAAAATTAATAGCAAATTGAATAGTGTTTTTAATGAAACTTTTATGTAATTAAGATTATTGGAGTAATAATTTTGAGTGTTGTTGAAAACTTGAATCTAAGAAGAAGTTAGAAGTCAAGATAGTTATTACTCCCCGTGTCCCAATTTGTGTGTCAATACTTTTTCTTGATTGTTCCGAAAAGAATAACATACTTCGTTATTTAAAAATAATTTAACTTTAAACTTTCTTCTTTACCCTTAATGAAATAATTTACAATCACACTAATATCTATAATTTTGTTTAGACCACAAATTTCAAAAGCTTTTATTTCTTTCTTAACGTTGCGTCAAGTTCGATACCGCCATATAAATTGGGGCGAAGGGAGTACTAAATAATGTAATGAAGGGAATAGGATCTCTCCACCTTAATCATAGATCTTCCTAAAAATGGAGACTCATGATCAGAGACCATTCTCCATTTGATGGTCCCTAAAAAATAGTGTGAAGGTGAATTAGTCGAGCTAGTAAATTTCGTATACCAAAGTATATAAAAAATTCCAAATAGTCAAGATAGTTAGGAAAGTGATTCAAAGGAAGAAAATTAATTAGACCGTCAATTGTGGATTAGGAGAGCATAGTTTAAGAATATAATTTATAAAATGCAGAACTCTTTACAAGTAACTTAGCTCTTAAAATAGGAAACACATCCAAATTTATTCATGTATTATTCAAAATTGCTCAATTTTTTCCTTCAATTAACTTTTGGTCTAATATTATGTTAACGGTAAGAAAAATGTCTCGTTTCTCTCTTGAACCTCTAACAGAACTCCAATATGAAATGAGTAAATTTCACATGCCCAATTTTTTCGAGAAAAAGGTCCAAATTTATCCTTTAACTTTTGACAATAATTTGAATAACACTCAAATTGGACCTTGTGAAAATGAGACTTTTCTCAAGACTGGGATAATATAAGACCACAAATTTTAATGGACATTAAGGTTGCTCAATTTCGAGTAATACAGAAATAAATATGACCCTTTTCTCCAAATAAAGTGAGTATCTCATGACCGTTTTATATTTGTTTGGTTTTGCCAGATATTGATGAATGTGTTCATCCAAACACGTGTGAAGAGAACTGCACAAACACCCCAGGGAGTTATATTTGTTCTTGTCCTGATGGATATACAGATGATGGCAAAAAGGATGGCCGTGGTTGTATTGCTCCCTACTCTGAATTCCCATGGATCAAATTCTCTATAGGTAAAAATCTTGAAACACTTTCATAACCATGAATACTAGTATTATTTTCCACGGGTCTATGTCACACGTCACTCCCCTTGGGTGCGTCCCTTTCTTGGATCCTGCATGAATACGGGATGTTTTGTGCACCTCGCAAGAAAATAACTGACAAGTATGTGGTTTTTGTTATGTCTCCATAATATATGAATGTTTATTTTGTCACTTCATTTCAAACTATTTTTGCAAACGTCTTTTTTTAACAAAAGTTTTGAATTTTAATTAGATGTTTCTCTTGTATGATAGTACAGCATACACACACCACACAATACACATGTGGCAAAGCAGTACCTATTTCCGGTATTCTTTTGTTTTTTAATTAAAAACTTAAAAAATCCAAATTTTGGTACGGTGATTATGATCTAGGACCAAGAACTACTTTTTTTTTTTTCCTTCAAAAATCCGGACTATGTTTGAATAATACAGAACTTTCTTTTATGTGTTTGAAACAGCCACTTAAAACACCAATTCGTCAGCATATACATTCAATAGCAAATGAATGTGTACAATCCTGCACTTTTGATGCAGTTGAAGTAGACATTAAAAGTTCAATTCCATTAATTTCACAGGCACCGGAGTTGGCTTTATCTCCATAGTGGTTGTGATAACTTGGCTCTATTTCAGCATCAAGAAAAGAAAATTGATTAGAGTCAGAGAAAAATTCTTCCAACAAAATGGTGGTCTATTATTGAAACATAGAATCTCCACTAACGAGGGTGGTTTGAAAGCAACCAAAATTTTTACAGCTGAGGAGCTCAAGAAAGCTACGAACAATTATGCCAATGACAGAATTCTTGGTCGCGGTGGCAATGGGATTGTATATAGAGGTGTGCTACGTGATAATAGCATAGTTGCTATTAAAAGATCTAGATTTGTGGACGAGAGTCAAATTGATCAGTTTATCAATGAGGTGCTTATTCTTACTCAAGTCAACCATAGAAATGTGGTGAGACTCTTTGGGTGTTGTTTGGAAGCTGAAGTTCCTTTGTTGGTTTATGAGTATGTCTCTGAAGGAACTCTTTACGAGCACATTCACAATCAACGTGGAGCGGATTGGTTATCTTGGCAAAACCGATTGAGGATTGCAGCAGAAGTAGCCACTACACTCGCTTACCTTCATTCATTTGCGTCCATGCCTATAATTCATAGGGACGTTAAGTCTGCCAACATACTGTTAGATAATGTTTACACATCTAAAGTGGCAGATTTTGGAGCTTCAAGGTTAATACCTCTAGATCAAACACATGTGGCTACATTAGTTCTAGGGACATCAGGGTACTTGGATCCTGAATATTTTCGCACAAGTCAATTGACAGAGAAAAGTGATGTTTACAGCTTTGGAGTCGTACTAGCAGAACTTCTAACGGGATTAAAACCTGTTTCTAAGGATAGAAACGGTGAGGACAAGAATTTGGCCGATTATTTTGTTATGTCCATGAATAAGAATAGCTTGTTTCAGATTCTTGATCGTCGTATTTTGAGGGAAGGGAGTCTTGAGCAACTTCAAAAGATGGCTGAACTTGTGAAGAATTGCCTTCGCGTGCACGGAGAAGATAGGCCTACAATGAAAGAAGTGGCCATTGAAATTGAAGGTCTGAGGAAGCTAACTGGTATCGCTTGGTCTAATCAAAATGAACAAGAAGAGAATGAATTATCAGATCTTTACACAGTTCCAATTAATTCCTATGGGAATACCTCTAATTCGGATAGTTGTCGTATAATGCATCCTACATATAGTCCAAGTTGATCCAAATTAAATCTAGGCACTAATATAATCCTACATAAGACTGTATGTTACTGTCCCCATCCCTATGTTTCTTCCATATTGAATGTTCTAATGTGTTTTCCTCTCAATTTTTAGATACATTTTTTTGTTTTTGTTTTCAGGAGTTTTGTTTTTCTTCTTTTAGTGCTGGAGGCATGAAATAAAGTAATCAATTTCTCTGTGATCGTTTAGTTTTCTTTAAAAAGGAAATATAGAACTACCAGCTAGTACATCGATAATACTGTGATTGTTTAGCTTTCTTTTCAGGTTAGTGAAATAGAAAATTTCTTTTTTATCCTAACAAAGCAATATATACGTCAAAAATAGTGTGCAATTGAATGGCCAGCATCTCGATAAAATTGGAACAATATAGAGAAAATTACGATCGATGTACAAAGATGATACATATAAATATAGTATTTGAATCATGTGATATACGAGATGATTAACTTAACTTTCATTCTAACACAGACAAGAAGAGAATGAGGGGTTAGATCTTTACACGACTTCAATTAAGTCGATCACAAATACCAGCAGTGTTTCTTGATAGTATAGTTCCAGTGGAAGCTAAAAATCGAACAATTACAAAGATATGGCACTACCAGCATAAATGCAAAGTAAATTGCAAATAAAAATTTATTACATATGAGATTTCAGCATAATCTGAAATTCCTACATAATATGCTGGAAATTTATACACAGAAGCTCCATAATCCAACATATTATACTGGAACTTTTCGTGTTTCGACCAGTCTTTTTGTCCAGATTTTACTTCCGCATTAAACAATAGCTATTTTTTATTGTATTTGCAAATGTCGATTATTTTTCAATTACCAATCCGAAAAATGATTATTCCATGCTATTTTGACATCAATAACTGGTGGGGAATGTTAGTCCTGCACACGCTTGAGGCGTAACTGTGTTGGACAAGAAAAAGTAGACCTTTTCCTGTTCTGCAACTTATAGGCTACTCTTTTTGTAGAGTATTAATTTGTAAAGTCAGGAATAAATGAAAAAAATACAAATCATCCTGTAAGCTTTGACAATAAATTCAAAGTTCATATCATAAGGGAAGAAGTGCACTAATTTCTCATACTGTATAGAGACATTATTCAAAATTGACAATCTAATCCCTTACAGGAGATCCAAGCGAGTTCTGTTGAGACATCACAAAAGTGACAAACATGCAAAAGCAAATAACACTAAAATGCAATAATATTATAGTGTTACTACCATGATCACTTCCACACCGCCGTATGCAACAACAGCCCCATCACAGAACTGCAATTATCCTTGAGATCTTGTAATCACACAGCTATGAGGACTCGATTTTCTTCATCATATTAGTATGGGAGCGGAAAAAGAAAAAGCAACTATGTACATCCTCACACCTTCCTTCCAAATCACTGGTTCTTGAAAGACTGCAGAGAAAAATATCAGTTAGTAAACTAATTATTAGTTCGACGCACATTACAGTTACTTTTAAATGTTTCACAGTTAAAACCTCGGAGTTTTTGGACACATCCTTGATCAGGTCAGCAACTTCTCTCTTCTTTTGCTCAGCTGCAAGTACCAAAACATATGCTCAGATAAGCCTAAAAACTTGAATAGAATCAGGACGAGATGGTATATTAGTTACCCATTTTAGATAGATCCTCCATTCTTCTCGAGGTCCTTACTGCAAATCTTTGGAAACCAGGGCTGAGATGAAAAGAAAGATACAGTTTAGAGGGCATCTTCTCAAGGCCATTAGAGTATAATATCTCAAGACTGATACTACAGAAGGAAACATAGTAGCCAATTAAAAAAGAAAAAGACTCCCTACGGGAGCAGAAAGATATGTTTCCACATGACATAGGAATAGTTTCTCCTTTTACCCAGAGATATAGTCACATGAAGAAGTAATTTTTTTTTTTTTTTTGGGTTGATAGGTCAGTCACATGAAGAAGTAATTCCAAATTGTCCTACAAAATTAACTCCTTGCAACAATTATATACCAATTAGGATGTCTACAAGAAGTCATCAGCAACAGAAGCGAGAATAGGTAATACTTGTAAATATGACTTCGTCCATTGAAGCTATCACTTGTCTACTAACCTACAATATTAATGCAAGAATAATTTGACAGATTCTTAATGTTTGTATAATTAAAGCTGCACGATTTTTTTTTAAATCTATTCATTTGTTTGAAGTCGCATAGATAAGCCAGAAAGATTTTTCTCATCCCGTTCGCTCACTACAGTATATGAATCTAAGATGTGACAAACAAAAAGGAACACGCAGCTCACATTGAAGGGAAGAAAATCTCTCCCTCTAGCCAGCACAACACAACAATCTTAGCAACAAAAATGAATAGTTTAGAAAATTTTCTTTCTCAAATAAAACAAAGAAAAAATAGAGATAAGAAGATAATTCAAGCAGCCTAAGACCGTTGTATATGTTGATGTTAAATTTCCATCATCTTCACACAAGCCTAATGAGTCATCATTGTCAAGCTTCTACTTCAATTTGAAGACGAGCAGTACTAAAACAACCATTAATCCTTGATCATGAAATTTGATTGCTTGTTGTACCCTACAAATTGTGTGAAAGTAGGATAATCCAAGTTTAGAGGGCAAAGAATTTTAGAAAATGTCTTGGTCGGAGAAAACGTGAATGAAGGATCCCACAAAATTGAATATGATCCATGAATCTAAGCTCTCATTTGGGCATAGATTTTGGCTTCATTGTTTCAAAAAATAAAATCGAAAACATTATTTGTTTATGAGATACAATCATGTTTTGAGAAAAAAATTCAAAAAATTTCAAGTTCCCAAAAACTGGTTTATGACAGTTTTAGGGTGCGCACACAAAACTTCTAACTTTTCTTCAAATAAAATGCATGTCCATACACAATTTCAACTTTCAAAAATTATTTTCCAGCACAACTTCAAAAACTCTTTTTTAAAGTTTCAATCAAATTTATGTCCAAACGCTAGCTAAGAATTGGCGAGAATTATTGATCTCTCACAATGCGAAAATCTTAGGATTTGAACTGATGACCTGTCATTGATTCCTCCAAATTGCATTAATTTATCCTAAAGACCTGCTGAAGGGTTAAAACGACCAACCCATAATTGGCGAACGCAAACATAGAAAACACAAATTATGTAAAATCATTCACAACCTTATAAAGTAAGTTAGATTTTTTGATAAGGTTTCAGTTTTCCTATAAATTAGGTTTCCTAGTCCAGATATGTTTCAATCCCAAACATATATGCAGGGGCGGATGCATGTTTGATGAAGCGGTGTCACGCGACACCACTTCGTCGGAAAATTTTACTAAATTGTATGTATTAATACTGTGAGGAAACGGATAAGAAGTCAAAAATGAAACCACTTGACATAAGTTGTCTCTTAGTGTGTTGATTATGTGCTCATTTTACTCTAGGAGGTCAAAGATTCAAACCTCAACTAGTACTTTTTTTTACAAATATTTGAGAGAGCCTCTGTAGTTTAAACTTATGCTTAAGCAGAGACTTTTTCTAACTTAAGACTCAAGAAAAACAATAAATTAAAACTATTTCTTGTCCAAAAGTATGATAATTAAAGTTATTATTTTTATTCTTTTATAAATTTGGACACCGCTAAAATCCCTGCGTACGCCCCTGGCTATATGAATGTATGAATCTTTTTATATCCGTTCCATTGTATTCGAACAAATTTCATTCCAGCACTAAAAGATTTGTCCTTTACGGAAAACCAAAGATAAATAAATAAGATAAGAATATAAACCAAAAGTAAATATAATAAATAGATTGATTACCTGTTGGCGAGTCCATTAACGATCAATTCGTTGGCTACATAAAAAATAACCCTATGAATAAAGTTTCCTCCTCCAGCCATGGATGATTTCTACAACTTCTACACGAATAAGAAAAGAGAATAAAAAATATGAATTTTACGTTTTTGTTCTGATTTGAGAACTTCACAGATCGAATATCAGATTTCGACAAGTAAAGTAAACGTAAGTGAATGAATGGACGAGGTACGATGAGATTGTTACCTTGGGAAATAAGGAATCAGCTAAATTAGGATCTCAATTTCCCGAAGATTCGAGATAACTCGGGACTTTCAACTGGGGAAAGAGGAGAGGAGATGAACTCTTTTTGGTTGTGGGGCAATGCATTCAAAGGCTTTTTATGAGGGGTAGGAGGCCCACTTTTAATGGGCTTTCAGATATGGGCATGGAGTCCTGGAGCCCGTTTGGACATAAGAAATTTTTCAATATTTTCGAAAAATTTTCACTTTTTTCGAAATTAGCGTTTGGTCATAAAATTTTCAATTTTTATTTGAAGATTCATTCTATAATTTCTCAAAAATTTAAAAAACTCCAAAAAGTTGTTTCTCAAAATTTTCACTTAAATCACTCACAAAATTTCAAAAACAACCTAAAATTATATTCATATCCAAACACAACTCTAATTTTCAAATACCATTTTCACTTGAATTTTTTTTCCTTTTTTTTTGGAAGTTTACAATTCTTATGTCCAAACGCCCACTTAATTCACTTGTTTTCCTTATTTGATTTCTAAATATCAGGTATCTGGAAATGATTTTCCACACTTTTTGACGAATTAACCCAATTAGTCGTCCACTCAATTGCTTAAACTAAAAGTAGCCGATGAAGTTGTAATATATGTATATGTATGTTTAATATGTATATAATCGTGTATAATCATAGTATAATCTATATATATTGCTAAAAAAGTAAACAATGTATATGGCAGCTACTTATGTAAAAATCCCCTTTCTTTTTTCTTTTCAGAGTTTAATATGGAATCTTACATAAATGTCTCGTATAAGTCCTAACTTATCAACTTCTAGTCATTAATCATAGACTTACCAAAACTAGCCAAACACATATAAAAATTAAAAATCTAATTAAATAAGGTTCTTTCTCTTCAAGGATCACATGCAATGATCGCATTCCATATTGTTAAGCGTGATCAACAATATTAGATGCAAGATGGAAAGGAAATTCATGGATGAGGTAGAAAATAAGGTGATGAAATGCAAAAAAAAAATATACAAGATTCCAAAAATCTAAGCCAAAAAAAAAACTTTTTCAATGGTTATGATTCAAATTCATAGAAAATATATAGATAAGTCAATATACAAAATTTGAGGAAAATTGGAGGTGAATTGGACTGAATTGATATCAAAATTTGTAGTTAAAATCGAGTTCAAAAAATACTTATGCAACACATATATCAAACATGTATCACGCATGTACCACACACAGAGGTATACATGGATCTACTTGTGATACATATTTGATTCAAATATGATACACAAATGATACACAAATGATACACAGTGTGATACACATATCATTTTTTCATGTTCATCTTATATTTCGAATTTTCAATTCAAACCACCTCTAAACTCTATCAAATCATCAAAAAACAGAGATTCAAACTCCTTATAATGTATCCAATCTATTCTAATAATACCCACTCAAAAGAAAGCAAAAATTTAACTTTTTTCGTTACAAATAGCTACTTGGCTAATATTAATATTTTTTTGTGAATTAGTCAATTTTTATAATAAGCTACTTATAAATGGACATTGCTGGTAATTTTTCATTTATTATATAGTGATACGGTACAAGTTTTTAGTCTTTGGTGACTTAAAAACTAAATATTCATAAAATTAACCTTACTATGATATTATAAAATCTTTTTTACATGATCAATGCAATTTAACCATTTTCAACAGGTTATCCACCCTTTTTTTCGTTTGCACAATATTTGAGTGAATTTGACAAAATAATTACTTAAAGCTAAAGTTAGAAAAAAAAAAGTTTTGAAAGTTAAAGTTGTGTTTCAATATGAATTCACGTTTTTTTAAAAGTTGATGTTTCGAGAGTAAAATTCATTATCTCAGTTGAAATGCTCCTCAAACTAATTTTTCAATTTCAAATTCCCTAATTCAAGTTGAAGTTAAAATAATAAACAAAATTATAAAATAAATCTTTATTTGCAAATAGTGTATGACCAAACGCCTACATACACTGTCTCCAGTAGTAACATAAAAAGATTAGCTGATGGTAAATACATTCTTGTACCACCGGTATATAAAACTTGACCACCGTGATATTCTTAATAGTTTTGATCTTGTCGAGGCTGATCTCGATTCCCCGATTGGATACCATGAATCCGAGAAATTTATTTGATCTGAGTCCAAATGTACATTTTTCCGGGTTCAACTTCATGTTGTACTTCTTCAATATGCTGAAGGTTTCCTGCAAATATTTTAATGGTCCTCTGCTTGCAGGGACTTAACCAGCATATCGTCAATGTAAATTTCCATTGATTTCCCTATTTATTCTTCGAACATCCAGTTTACTAGGCGTTGATAAGTGGCACTAGCATTTTTTAATCTGAATGGCATCATGTTATAGTAGTATGTGTCGTACTTAGTGATGAAGGAAATTTTTTCCTGATCATCCAGATTCATCTGTATTTGGTTGTACCCGGAATAGGCGTCGAGAAAACTGAGGATCTCATAGACGGTCGTGGCATCGATCATGCGATTGATGTTGGGCAAAGGGAAAGAGTCCTTGGGACATGCCTTATTCAAATACTTATAGTCTACACACATTCTAAACTTGTTTCCTTTTTTAGGGAATACCACTACGTCTTCTTACCAATCCGGGTATTTAACCTCCCGAATGGATCCTATTTTAAGGAGTTCAGATATCTCGTCCTTGATGAAAGCGTGTTTGACTTCAGAATGAGGTCTCCTCTTTTTCTTGACCGGGCAGAATTTCGGGTCCAAGCTTAGCTTGTGAGTGATTATCTCCGGTGGGATCCTTGTCATATCAAGATGGGACCAAGCAAAATAATCTATGTTAGCTATGAGAAATTGAATGAGTTTTTTCCTGAGCTCGGGAGTTAACCTCGTACCCAGGTATACCTTCCGGTCAGGTCGATGTTCGACCAACGTGACCTATTCCAGCTCCTCGACCGTTGATTTAGTGGCGTCAGAATCATCGGGGACTATAAAAAATCTAGGAATCACGTAATCATCATCTTCATCAGTCCACTGTTTATCCGATTAGGTCGTGGACAGTGTCGGTAATTGCTATTTAGCCTCTTGCTTTTTATCCAAACTTGGTTCCTTTGATGTTGCGAGTGTTGATATCAGAATCACTTCTTCGACTGCAAACATTTTCTTTGTGGTTGGTTGTTCCCCGTAGATTGTTTTAATCCCTCATGGCATTGGGAATTTTAACACTTGGTGAAGATTCGAGGGCACTACCCTCATGTTGTGGATGTATGGCCTCCCGAACAGGGCGTTGTACCTTATGTCTCCTTCGATCACATAAACCTTGATTTCTTGGATGGTCCCGACGGCATTCACTAGTAATGTTATCTTTCCCTTAATGGTTTCACATGCCATGTTGAATCTATTTAGAACTCGGACTGCAGGCACGATTTGATCTTGTAGGCTGAGCTGTTCTACGACTCTTGATCGGATGATGTTGGCCGATCTACCTGGATCAATTATCACACGCTTAACTCGAGATTTATTTATCAGTACATATATTATCAGTGCATCATTGTGGGGCTGCACGATCCCTTCCGTGTCCTCGTCGTTGAAAGATAATGTTCCTTCTTATATGTAATCTCGAGTCCGTTTTCCCTTATGATGGATACTTTGGTGCGTTTTAACATCGGCCCTTGAGGAACATCGACCCCACCGATGATCATATTAATGACGTGTTGAGGTTCTTCTTATTTGGTTTGTTTATTAGAATCCTTATTTTTGAAATGATTCTTGGCTCGGTCGCTTGGGAATTCTCGAAGATGCCCGTTGTTGAATAACCGGGCCACCTCCTCCCTCAACTGTCGGCAATCCTCTGTTCTGTGGCCGTAAGTTCCATGATATTTGCGCATCTGGTTAGGATCTCTTTGTGCTGGGTTGGATTATAGAGATCGAGGCCATTTGGTGTCCTTGATGCATCCGATAGTTGATACGATAGCAGCAGCATCAACATTAAAGTTATATTCTGATAACCTTGGTGCTTCTTTAGGCCCGATAGACCTTTCGAAATTGTTTTTGCTCATGAGTCCCTGACTGCTCTGACCTCGATCATTTCTCCTTTCATTTTGCATTAGAATTCCATCTGGACCCACTGCTTCTTCGATCTCCATTGTACGATTGGTATCGATCCCTTTTTTACCTCGGTTCATGGTCGATATCTCTTTTGACTTTGTCGATGGGTCTAATGGGATCAACGGACCCGGAAGGAGCCCCAAGGTGATCATCTTCGATTCTTATTTTCGATTGATATCGGTTATGCACATCAGCCCAATTAACAACCGGATACTCTATCAGATTCTGCTTCAACTGCTGTGAAGCCACCAAGATTTGACCATTGAGTCCTTAGGTGAAAATTTGAGCGGCCCAATCATCAGCAACCGGTGGCAAATCCATTTTTTCCATTTGAAATTGGGGCACGAATTCCCTGAGCATTTCATTTTCTTTCTGTCTTACTTTGGAAAGGTCCGACTTGCTGGTTTCAACCTTGATAGCCCCGGTGTGTGCTTTCATGAAAGAGTTTGTGAGCAAAACAAATGAGTCAATAGAATTATGAGGTAAGTTGTGATACCATATTATAGCTCCCTTTGACAAGGTCTCTCCGGATTTCTTCAACAACACAAACTCGATCTCATCATCCTCCAATTCGTTCCCTTTGATGGCAAATGTCTAGGAAGTGACACACTCGTTTGGGTCGGTTGCTCCGTTGTACTTTGGAATTTCGGGCATGCGGACTTTACTAGGAATCGGCTTCAGAGCCGCACTCAGAGAGAAAGGTTTTTGTACGAACTTCTTGGAATCCAGGCCTTTCAATATCGGTGGCGCTCCCGAGATTTGGTCGACCCTGAAATTGTAGGTTTTTACCTTTTTGTCATTTGCTTCGATTTTCTTCTCCCCTGATTCTATCCGTTTTGTCAGCTCCTTGAGAATTTTTATGATCTCGGGGTTGATCCCCGCCTCGTTTTCATTAAACCTCTCTACGACCGGTTCTTCCCTACGGGTGATTTTCCGGGACGGATCAGGTTTAATTTTGCTCGGTGCGCGGCTTTTTTTCTGTAACTGAACTATCACTGCATGTCGAACCTGTAACATTTTAAAGATTATCCGTATGTTGATCCTATCTCCTCCATTGTTTTGAGTGTTCTGCTGTCGATCGGGCTCCACCACGAATGCTATTCTCGAAGTCGGTAGGCAGGTTTGTGTCGATCGCCACATGTGAGTTAGCGTCCAACGGGACCGCGACTTGAATTCCGATAGGATCAACGGGCAGTACCTCGTTACCGGGCGCTATGTTGTTTTTTTTGCCGTGGTGACCGGACTCATTATCAACAGGTAGGAGTGGCAATTGTTAGTTTGACATTTTGAGCTTTAACATGAAATTAGAGGCACTTCAAAGAGCAAGTGTAAAGTAGTGTGTGATATGGAAAATTTGTATCAAATAACTACTATTATTCTTAGCTCCACGGTGAGCGCCAAACTGTTTACCCTCAAAATCGAATAACAATTGAATTTGTAAGTGGTTTTAAGGATACGTGGATTAAATGGATACAAAGTGATAAATTAAATCACAATTGAAATAAAGTATGATATAGTAAATTCAAACCACACGAATTGAATAGTTAGAGCCTTGAGAGGTGAGCCACCCTTGAATAGAATGCACTTTGATCAGTGTCAAGACGCAGTTGAATAAGAACTCTAAAGAGAAAATAACAGTATATTGCTTCTGAATGATTGTTACAATGTCTTTTACAATTAATTAGACCCCCTTTATATAGTAGGGGAGTCCTACTTTAGATACAATTCTATAAAAGATAAAAATCTCCTGATTTGCTAATTTGCCGGTTCCTAAGTGATAGGTGCCGAAATTCTCGCTGTAATACTCGACCGGTCACGGATATTTCGGCCTTCTGTTATTTCGATCTTCTGTTGATCACACTGACGATGTTTTCTCGAGCTCGTTCAGGGTCAAGGTCAATTCCGAAATCATGGATCCAATGTTCTCGAGGACGAATACTCTGACCTCGTGTTCTGGTTTGATGGGACTCGGGATCGATCTCCAACACCTAGTCATTAGTTCAAGAAAAGAGAGTGGAACATCTTATCCCTTAATTGAAGGTTAACTATCAGCATTCCAGTTCTAGTTAACAACTTAACGTTCGAGTGGCCAAAAACATAACTATCAGCGACGCGGAAGTCTAAAAGCGAGAAATGAACGAGAATTCAAGGGGAAAAACATCAATGCGGTGAACGTGGATCGAACACGTGACCTTCAGATCTTCAGTCTGACGCTCTCCCAACTGAGCTATCCCCGCTTGTGTTTGTCAACTGTTATTTATTTAATAATGTCTAATAATAAATCTGATCTTACGGAACATGCTGATGCAACGAACCCAGATCTAGGTACCACTGGACGTTTCAAACAATTTTCTTAGCAATTATATATTAGTAAAACCTCTCTATAACAGTATTCCTATATAACAATACTTTACTATAAAAGTCAAGCTTTTTCGGAACCAATTTTCATGTTATGTTATAATATATATTTTATATAACAACACTTTGCTATAACATCCAAAAGTATTCGGAATAAACGAGGCTGTTATAGAGACGTTTGACTGTATAAGTAATTTTTGAAAGGTAAAGTTAAAATTAGTCGAAAACTTGTATACTAAACAGAACCTTAAAAATTCGAGGCGATCACGAGAGGTATAAATCTCATGGGACTATCACCAAAGTAATAGAGCGTTGCTCCATTAATGTTTAACACTTTGGATTGTTCTAGTATCCTAATTAAGTACGTCTCCTGAGCTTTATATTTTGAATTGTCAGTTGCATACTCATAATATATTGCTTAATAGTTAAGTATTTGGCGATCTAGAGTATTATTTTAACATATATTACCATGCATTAGGTAGTTCAATCAAATCTTTCTTCTTTTTTCGTTTGATTTTTTGTTGAGAGCGGTGGGTCCGGCCTATTTAATTGTATTTTAGTTAGTAGATAGATAGTTATAACTAAATGGATCAGTAGTTGAGTTAGTTGTTAGCTTTTATAAATAGTAGTGCTTACACAAATAAGCAGAGTAGCTGTATATATTATATTTGCAGTAAATGGAGTAACTATTTTCCTCCTCCATTGCATATTCTCTCTTCTTTCTTATCTCCGCCATAGTCAGAACTCCATAACATGGTATTAGAGTTCGGTTAATCGAGTAATGGCAGCTCAGATCGATGTGATGGAGCACTTAATCTCATCCTTAATATCTGCATTGTATTAATTTTTTGAGTCAATTTCTCATCCGAGTCTCACTTCCTTCGAGCTAGGGTTTGTGATTTGTTCAATTGGACCTCAATTGGTTGCGAGTAGTTTGTGCATTTGCTAATAACTATATTTCTCTTTTTCGATTCAAGTTTTTCACTTCTGCAACAATGCCAGTTCTTGAAGAAGCTATTGATGCTCAACTCACATCTCTTAATCAGCTCAATCAGTCGATCGAGTTGATCATCACCATCCTATGTACATACATCCATCTGATACACAATGTTCGGTTTTTATTTCTATTCAGCTACAAGGTTTTGAGAATTACTCGATCTGGAGTAGGTCATTGAAAATTGTATTATATGGCAAGAACAAATTAGGCTTTGTTTTAGGCACTTGCAAAAAAAGTAACTATAATGTTAGTCTTCATGAACTATGGGATAGATGCAATGTAATAGTGTTAGCATGGATCATGAATACAGTATCTCTAAATCTGTTCAGTACATTAATCTATGCATCAGATGCCCACAGTGTTTGAGAAGATCTTAGGAAAAGGTTTGATAAAGTCAATGTTTCTAAGGCAACTTACCTGCATAAGGAAATTGCTACACTAACACAAGAAGCATCTTCTATCTCTGTATACTTCTCTCGACTGAGAGAACTTTGGGATGAGTATGAAACACTATCTCCTCCACCTACATATGGCGTAATGACTCATATAAAAATGCTAAGAACTAGGTGCTAAAGATTAGACCACTTCTTAACGTGAATCAAGCCTATGTTATGATCATTAATGTTTGAAAGTCAGATGATCAATGGAAAGGGTATATATGGTTCTAATGATACTAATAAGGCTGATGCGATGATGAGTAACATAAATTATAACAACTAAGATTAGTGCATAATGCTGTTACCTTTGGACCTAACTCTAAGACTGCACCTAGAAAAAAAATCATCAATCCTGTTGATGTTTGGCAAAATGCCAAAGTCCCACATTGGTTGGGAGTTAAGTTTGGGGGGGATTTTTCCCCTATAAAAGAAGGCCTAATGTTTAGGATTGATACACACCTCTCATTTGCCTTCTCATCTGTTTAAGGCATTTGTATCTTCTCTCTTTAGTATTATTTCACTTGTATTTTTGGAGTGGAATAAAATATTGGTTGTGTCCGAGGAGTAGGCAAAATTAGCCGAACCTCGTAAATTCTGGTGTTCCCTTTATTATTGCTTTATTGTCTTATTTATTATTTGGTGGCTGTCATAATTTTTGGTATAGTAGTTGTGACTTATTCACACTCTATACATTTGGCTTCCGCAACAAATCCATCTTTACTTCATTATATACATACATGACGCAAAACTTAAATCAAATAACTCCTTCATCTGGCATTAGTAAAGAGTCAAGTTGTCAAGGAAGCAACTGATAGTGAACAAATGACTTGTAAAAGTTAAACAATTTGGCCTTTTTGGATTCATCATATATATCTTGAATCTCTCCTTAGAACATTTCTATAAATAGAGAGTTTCCTATTTGTCTCAAACAACTACTCTAGAATTGCACAAGAATGATTAAGTACATAGTTTAATTAACCTACTTCCAGAATGAAAAATGCTACACAATTAATAATGGGTACGATGTTTAATTAATTTGTGGAGATCGTAGATGGCGATTGAGGTTTTAGGAAGTAATAATGGTCTCAACTAATTATAGATATCTAATAATATTGATGAGCCTATATGTTAATGCGCTGACTATGCAAAAAATATTTACACAAACAAATAAAGTAGATCATATTGAAATGTCCTTTTAAATTATTTGCATGATTGATGAGAAGGAATAAACTTATCATGCTTCTAATATTATGCAATTGTTTCTTCACGAAACAAAAGTTAAGTAATAGAATAGCATTATTCTTGGAAGATATCTTTGACATTGACATACTAATACTATGTACGTAGTTATTAGAAGCTTGAGCAAAAAACCTAGGACGCTTTTTAGTTCCTAAATATGAAAAGATACAAATTAAGAGAGGTGAATTGATTATTTCTTGATCAAGCTAAACATAGCAATTAAGTAATTTGATCATATGAAAAGTTACAAATTCAGAGTGGTGAATTGATTATTTCTTGATCAAGCTAAAGATAGCCATTAAGTAAAAGTTAAACTGTTACTCCAAAAGCTCAAAGCTCAGCCAAACAATGGCGAATCGGCGATGCGTTCAAACCCTAAGCCGTCATTTAACATATCTTCTCTCTCCAAATCCATCATCTCTCCATTCCCTCACGTCCATTTCGCCTCAAACCCTAACCCCACAAATACTCAAATCCATCGACACACTCACTCCCTCTCCCAAATGCCCTAACGTTACCACTAAAATTTCATCTTTCCACAGGCATTTCTGTTCCAATCGACCGATCAATAGCGATGATGACGAGGAGGGAAGTGAAGAAGAAACTGATGATGATGATCATGACGTGGAGGGTTTGGAGTCGAATATTGAGCCCAGCAGAGAGTACACTCCAGAGGAGAAAGAACACGAGGCAGCTGAAATAGGGTATAAGGTCATCGGCCCACTTCAGAAATCGGACCGGGTCTTCAAACCATATGAACCCGTTTTCGCCGTTGTTCAGGTTAATTACTGTTTCCTGTATACCTTATAATCCCAAACTAGTTGGGATCGACTATATGAATGTCTATTCTATTTTTGATTAACTTTATATATTAGGAGTTTTTTAACACTATAGATTATATACGTTTAGTGATAAATTTTGTATCTTTAATTGTGACCTTTACAGAATTGAAGCTGTTGTCTTTTGTTATATAGATTGGTTTTCACCAGTTTAAAGTGAGCAATGGTGAATCCATTTTTACTGAGAAACTGAAGTTCTGCGAAGTTAATGACAAGGTAAGTTGGGTTCTTGCTTTCTGGAAGTTGTGTACAAAGTTGATGTCTTTTTCTTATACATACAACTAACAGAAGTCACCTTGAGGACGTTGTAGCAGCGGGTGCTAACTTAGTAAAAATATGTCTTAAAAATTGTTCAACAGTTCATATAGTTAAAATCAAATGCAGAATATGCAGTGCGGATGCACCTGCTGTTCTCATACTACAATTGTCCCTAACTGCTGAAATTTCATCAGGAAAAAAAACTAAAGGCTGAGCTTAGGGTTGTGGCTGTCAAATGTCTGGTTGGATTGTGACAATGTATCATTGTTTTTAAGCTCTGTTGTTTGTTCAAGTAAGGAATGATGGGGTAAAGGGATACTCTTAAGTGCTCATTTGAGCTTTATGTAACTCGTCCCTCTGGATGTGTTAAATGTTCAATTTCTACCAAACCTTATTTAGGACTGTAGGAGCTAGTTGATGATCTCCTTAGTTCTTTGTGCAAATGTGTTAGGTCTCAGTCCGCTACTTTTATCTTTGCTCTTCTCAATAGATTATTTACTACTGACCTTGCATCAATTGGCATTACTTGAAAGAAAAGGCTCCAGAGCAATTCTTAAGGAAAAAGTTGAGAAAAAAGTATTACATCAATGAAGTGGTGATATAAGTGGAAAAAAGTTTAAGATATTTATTATTAGATGCGGGGAATTTCATAATTCTATTTTTAACATATCTGATGCTTGATGAAAAGGGAGAAAAATAAGTTGCCCTTTTATTGTTTTTGAAATTTGATAATTACCCTCCTCTTGTTATGTAATAGCCCCATAATTCCTCTGTAGTTTTCCTTAATTAAAGAGGCATTTTTCATAAAACCATGCAACTTTGGTTTGTCTAAGAAAACAAGCAACTAATTTTTTTTTTTTTTTTTTGAAAACCATTATTCTTTCTCCTGTCATCAGTTTATTCTTTAATCTTTAGGTTTTTGATGGTAGAAAGTAAATGCAAGTTAGACCATTGGGACTTTGAGAAAACTATTAATCCATGTTATTGTGATGAAACAGCCTTATAATATTTTCTGCGTATCCTAGATATTATTGCAAAATGAGTTTCCTTGTTTTAATATGCAGGTATCACACTGTAAAAGGGTTAATGAGACTATTTGTTACGTACTTACGTTGGAGAAGAATTGACAAGTGTTTATAATTAAAAAAAAGGTAGTATGCCTTCTGTTCTAAAATTATGTGAAGTAAAAAAGGAGACTTGAATTATATTGCTGGAAATGGACATCTTTTGAGATGTGCATGCACAAAAGTCTTGGGTTCCATAATCCATATGAAACTAATTGGCTTTGATATCTTTCGATGCTAAAGGAAGATGCTAATTTTTTTGGTTTCCGACTTAGTTAGAAGTAACTACCACTATAGAAATTGTTTAGAAAACAAATCTTATGGCAGTTTTAATAGAAAGGAGAGAGGAACAAACTTATCACCCTTAAATATGATGTGGCTTGTGTTTATTGATAGGTTTTAGTTCTAATACAAGCTGTAGCACAAGATAAGCTTCAAAGTGCAGAATCACGTTGCGCATGAGACCTTGACCCTGATGAAGCTTGCTATGTGCTTCTCCTTTCTCACTTTAGTTTTTGCCTGTCTCTTACTTGTGAAAAATGCTTGTACGTTGGAATTACTGTCACGTGAGTGCGTAACTATGTCATTGTTTTGTGTTCAGTTAATACTAAATAAGGTTTTGCTGCTGGGCTCAACGACTCAGACAATCATTGGCAGGCCTATATTGCCGGATGCAGCTGTTCATGCTTTCGTTGAGGAGCATGTAAGATAGTTGTGCCATGAGTCTACCTTTGCCTTTAGTTTGCTTGCATATTTACTTGTGTATTTTCTGGTTGACTAGTAAGTGACTGTTATGTCAGTTCCCATGAAGTTTGAGAAGTTGGATTAGCAATTTCCTCATAAACCGCTTTTTAATCCTTTAAAATATATTAAAAGAAGTTCTTATTTGAATGAATTCTATAAGTAGGTTCATTGAGAGGAATACTTATCCCAAGGAAAAAAAGGTTCATCGAGAGCTGGCCCCAACTTGTTTGGGACTGAGGCGTAATTGTTGTTATTTTTTAATGATCTATTTTTCCTCACTGTTGAAAAGGTATTGCATATATTGCACTACCTGTAACCACTTATGGTAAGTGGACTGATATTAGTAATATACAATACCTCAAGAATGGTTTGTGTAATTAACAAAACTTCATTTTTCAGTAGTTATAACTGTTAGCTTCAATTATATTACTTATTGGATCTTGCTGAGCTTATTCGAGGAATGCCATAGATGTGGAACTAGGTTCAGTTCTTCAGGCATTGAGCTTGGATGATTGCATAACTTGCTTCATATATGCACACACACATCTTATTTCATTCCAGATAGATTCGGAAATTTAATCTGTCCTTGTCTTGGTCCAGGCATTAGATGCTAAAGTACTTATATTCAAGAAGAAGAGACGGAAGAATTATCGACGAACACGAGGACATCGACAGGTTAGTCATTGATTCATCCACAATGAACATACTGCCTGAAACACAGCCATGTTTTATACACATTGTTACTTCTCATCCTCTTTTCCTATTCATTTTTAGGAATTAACAAAATTGAGGATTACGGATATACAAGGAATTGAGAAACCTGAAGTGGCACCCCCTCTTAAAACAGAGAAGAAAGGTGTTAAGAAGGTAGCAGTAGCAGCTTAAAGATGCTAAAAAGTTTTAGTAACAGTTGAGCAAGGGATTTTTGGCATATACAGCTGACATGGCTCAGCTTTTTCCATTCGTCCTGTCTTACGAGATTTATGTGAAAACGCAGATGCCACATGCGGTCAGGTGTTAAACTGGCATGAGATGGAGGGCAATGATTCTGTTGTAAGCTTACCATAGTTGAATCTTGAGGCTATATTCGGTTACAAGTACCAGTCCCACTTAAATTGAAAATATTCACAGTGATTGATAAGCAAAGCTTTGCATGCTAGCCAGTTCAATAACAATAGTGTCTGAAAGAAGAGTTAGCATTAGTTTTCCCTTTATTTGCTAAACAACAATGCTAATGTTTTATACAAAGCAATGCAAAAACCAAATATCCAATCAAAGCTGATCATACCTCACCATATTTTGCATAGTCCGACAGCTGTATCCGTGCAACACGACAACACATACGGAAAGGGCAAACCAGCAAAGAAAACAAAAACCACCAATGACTTAAGAGTCGGACATACTCCTTTACAAGAAAATATTATTCTCTAAGCTTTATAGGCGATGTGTATCTGTTTCAGCTTTCTAGATGCATCAACAGATTTCTGCACTACTCTCTGCGCTCCTTCTTTTCCCAAATTTAGAAATTGTAAAGTACTGGCACTTCATTAAGAAAAGTTTTTTAACTGGCAACTTTTCCCATATAACCGGATTAGACTGAATTAATCAGCTGAGTTTGCAACAGGTTAGCTACTACCTCCGCTTCAATTTGAGCCCATTTGGACATAAGATATTTTTTCTTTTTTTTCCAAAAAAAAATTCACTTTTTTTCGAAATTAGCATTTGTTCATAAAATTTTCAATTTTCACTTGAAGATGCATTTTGAAAGTTTTCGAACATTTGAAAAATTCCAAAAACCTGTTTTTCAAAATTTTCACTCACAAAACTTCAAAAAAGACCCAAAGTTATATTCATGTCTAAACACATTTCTAAATTTCAAATACCAATTTCACCTGAAAAATTTTTTCACCCCTTTTTTTGGAATTTTACAATTCTTATGTCCAAACGCCCGCTTAGATAAGGTAGTTTGAGTCGACACAAAGTTTAAGAAAAGAAAAGAAGGCTTTTGAAACTTGTGGTCATAAAAAGCTTGAAGGATAAAGTTTATGGCTTTGTGGGGTTATGACATTTGTATGGTATAAAAGCTTCTCTTTCCACACACCACAGTTATTAAAACAAAACAAAAGGGCAACCAGAAACCTAAATGAGTAACTCTGTCTACAATTTTTTTTGTAGAGGTAAAGATAGGTCACCATTGATGATTTCATCTGATACGAATGACTTAATAAAGATATAGGCACATTCCAATCCTATAGCAACCAATGAGGGCGTAACCAATTGGTAAAAGAAAGAAGCGTGATGAAAAGTTTAAAAGAAAGAAGGTAAAGTGAAATGTGAAAATAGCAAAAGTGTTTCTGATATATATTACTTTATTAGACGGATGTTTTACTCTTGCATGCAAAGACTTGCTAACCTCAATAACATTCATCTAAGCCTGTTGCACTGGAAATGACATTTAAAACCAACAGATACAAAGGTTGCAAATCTGTTCTCGATAAATCTGCTTGTACATCAGCACTATCAAACAACTGTTCATTTCTCCAGGGTTAGCCTATTTTTGGCCAAGAAAGCAAAGTAGATTAATCAGTCTTAAACAGCCAGACAAACGATTAACCCAAGCATCATATCATATAGCCGAGCCAAGGACACAGCAGTGCTCCAAACCAAAGTAGACTGCAAAAAGGGCCGGAGCTCTAGGGCAATTTGGATTAAGCCCCATTCAGTTGGAATAAATGCCAACAAACTTGTGATGAAGTCAAACAGCGTAAACTTGATTAACCTCAACAATAGAACAATCACCAATGTAGTGAGCAGAATAAAAAGCAACTGCACCAGTCGATAATATATGTGCTCCTTCATCGAAGGCTTGGAGTGACTCACTAGGTTATTTAATGTCATTTTACACCCAAAGAGTGAAGGTGGAGCACGGTGGTTCTTGTATACAAGAACAAGGGTGATATTCAAAATTGCAATAACCATCGGGGTATCAAGTTGCTTAGCCATACTATGAAAGTCTGGGAGAGAGTGGTTGAGCTAAGGGTGAGGACGAGTGTGTCTATTTCCGAGAACCAGTTTGGGTTTATGCCAGGAAGTTCGACTACAGAAGCCATCCACCTTGTTAGGAGATTGATGGAGCAGTATAGGGAGAGAAAGAAGAACTTGCATATGGTGTTCATCGACTTAGAAAAGGCGTACGATATAGTTCCGAGGGAGGTTTAGTGGAGATGTTTGGAGGCTAGAGGTATACCGGTTGCCTACGTTAGGTTGATTAAGGACATGTATGATGGAGTAAAGACCCGAGTGAGGAAGGTGGGTGAGGACTCAGACCATTTTCCGGTTTTGATGGGGTCGCATCAGGGGTCGGCACTCAGCCCTTTTTTGTTTGCTCTGGTGATGGACGTACTGACGCGCCACATCCAAGGGGAAGTGCCATGGTGTATGCTATTTGCAGATGATATTGTATTGATTGACGAGATGCGAGATGGTGTGAACGCGCAATTAGAGGTATGAAGGCTGACCCTGGAATCTAAAAAGGTTTCAAGTTGAGCAGGACCAAGATAGAATACTTAGAGTGTAAGTTCAATGGCGAGACTCAAGAAAGGGAAAGGAAGGTGAGACTAGACTCGTAGGTCATCCTTAGAAGAGAGAGTTTTAAGTACCTTAGGTCTATTATTCAGGGGAATGGGGAGATTGATGAAGAAGTCACTCATCGTATTGGGGCGGGATGGATGAAATGGAGACTCGCTTCCGGTATTTTATGTGACAAGAAGGTGCCACCAATACTCAAGGGTAAGTTCTATAGAGTGGTGGTCAGACCAACGATGTTGTATGTGGCTGAATGTTGGCCAGTGAAGATGCTCATGTCCAGAAGATGAAGGTAGCAGAGATGAAGATGTTGAGATGGATGTACGGGCACACCAGGTTAGATAGGATCAGAAAAGAGGTTATTCGCGACAAGGTGGGTATGACCCCTATTGAGGACAAGATGCGGGAAACGTGTCTTAGGTGGTTTGGTCATGTGAGGAGGAGGAACAGAGACACCCTGGTGAGGAGGTGTGAGAGGTTGACATTGGAGGGCCTAAGGTGAGGTAGAGGTAGGTCAAAAAAGAGGTGGGGAGAGGTGATTAGATAAGATATGACACAACTTCAGCTGACCGAGGACATGATCCTTGATAGAAAAGTATAGAGGTCGATGATTAGGGTAGTAGAGTATGTAGTCTAGAGTGTTCATGACAGTAGTACTAGCACGCAGTCTCGCTTTTTGTTGGTAGTAGTTTTTTATGACTAACCATTATTTTTTATCATTATTGATCACCTTTTTGTCTTGTTGTTTTTATTCTGCTTTTATATGACTTTTTGGTACTGTCCCTTCTTGTCTATATTTTCATTAATGTGGTGCTTATACTTTCTTGAGCCGAGGGTCTATTGAAAACAACATCTCTATTCTCACAAGGTAGGGCTAAGGTCTGCGTACACACTATCCTCCTCGGACCCACGATATGGGATAATACTGGTATGTTGTTGTATATGCAATGGCAATGTAAATTGCCACAACAACGACCATAATAATCCAAAGACAGCAAGTAAACACAAATACTAATATTACCACCAGCAATGTGTAATTGATAAACAATTCCATATTGAAAGAAGAAACGAAGATCCATAATAATCTCACGCAATTTTCCCCAGAGACCGGTAGTTCTCAAGTGGTCCTGTTCTTCATACCACCATGTCTCCCAAACTTTGATCCGCTTTTACAAAAACTCCCCTATTGTACCAAATCCAATGCATGAAATCATCAAAGTCATACGCTGTTCTTAACTAGTCAAACCCAAAGGGATTGAACAAAAACGGAGATGGTATCCATGACAGTACAAGGAACCAACTTGATATAGTCATATATAGCTATATACACAAAGGTGTCCTTAGTTTATTGGAAAAAATTAAGTTCATATATGGAATTTATTGTAAGATGACACGTCATGATATGTGTATCGGTCAAAGGATGATAATTGCCAAAGAATAATTAAAGAGACATGAGCTTCAACAGGAACGAACAAATATTCAGGAAAACAAGAAAGATAAATGCTCAAACTTCTTTACGATCAAAGAGAATGAATCTGATAGCAAAAAAGGTATAGATACGTATTGTTAGACATTAAATACGGAAAACGTTAGAGAATCAGTATTGAATCAAATATGATTACCAATTGTAACGTTACATTAAATGCCATTAATTGTCAATAATGACTCAATTATGACAGAAACAAAACGTATTATCTAGAGGTAGCTATAAATGTAGAAGACTAGTTATTTGTAAGGATACGAAATACTATTGAAATACATTGATTTACTTTGCATTATATTCAGTTATTATTTGTCAGTTATTCTTATTTCTATTCGATTATCAGTAATCCAAGTTCTTCTAAAATAAGCTTTGACCAAAATCCCAATTTTTGGTTAAACAAATTGGTTCCGTTACTGGGAATCTGATAATCATTTACTTTCTTAGTCAAATCCTTCATCAAAAAACTGATAATGTCGAATTTCAACGACAATAACCAATACAATTTACCACCCCAAGATCCTCAACATCAGGAGAATGATACAAATGACAGGACCCCACTTCCCTCACCGCGTGATTCACAACGACAGTCACGAGAGGGGACTCCAGATGGCTCTAAAACAAATAACGGGGTTGCAAACCAAAACGGATTTGAGGCGAATCAAAATGCTAGAGTTGCGAACGAACAAGAACTTGATGATGCTCTGAAGAATCTAATTGCTCAGTAAGTCAGTAATGCTCTCCGGGCTTTTACCAACCAGTTACCAGTTGCGCCACCAACACCAACTTCGAATCATAATACTTTGGAAAACCCACGTTCTGGGTTCGTTAATTCAGTCACTGGTGGAACTCCTAGCGAGTCTCGTGATGGCAAACCAGGTAACATAGTTAATTCTGATTTACAAAATTTAGTTCTAACCTTGCAGAAGCAGCTCAAGGAGCAAAATGATCGCATAGAGCAAATACCTGGAGTACCGCCTGTGTTCAAAGGAATAGATATGGATAAATACTCATAACAACCATGGAAGCCTAGTGTTGCTCCTGTCCCAATCCCGAAGAAGTTCAAGATGCCTGATATCCCAAAGTATGATGGCACAACTGATCCACGAGACCACATGACTGCAT